CACTGTACTAATTCAACAAGGTATTTGACAATAAAAAGATTTAGAAGCAGTGGAAATGCTCACTATAATAATTTTTTTAAAATGTAGCAATTTCTCAGAATGTAAGTAAATACGCAACAACTTTGAAACAGGGTGTTAAGGCAGTCAGCTGAATGAGTGAGAAGACAACTGCCACTTCTGGGCTTGTCCCTCTGCTTGGTTGACTGGCTGTATCCATTAATTAGATCCCCATTACGCAGGTGGGGAATGCACCCACCAGAAGCACCTTATTGCTCTGTCACTCAGCCCACGAATATGACAGCTACAGCAAAGAGCTGAGGCATAATCGACGTGGAGAACCTGTCAGGCGCGCTGATGGAAAGGGAAAAGCCCCTCTGCTCAGGGGCTTTGCAGATTAATACCTTTAGTTACATCAAATGGTAAGCAGGAACCTTGTGAAGGCTACAGCCAGTATTTAAGGTTGTTCATCTCCATTACGAGGCAAATCTACTGATATGTTCCCCAAGGTCGTTAGCACTCGGGAAGCAGAGGGCAGCCACACGCCAAAGACACCGGGACAAGCCAGTCCAGAACACGTGCTGCTGCATCTTCCGTGCTCCCAACAGCTCCCAAAGTACTTCAGAGCAAATTAAACCCTTAGACTTCTTTGAGAAAGTCAGCCTCAGAACAGAGAGGTGCCAAACCTTGCTAAACGCTCCAGAAACTCCTCACTACACTAACTCCAGCCACTCCCCCAAGAACAGTTCAGCAATCGCTGCACCTCCCTTGCCCAGACACACCACAGCAGCGGCCCAGGGCAGAGAGCACCAACGCTGCAGCTTTGCATCCCAGGTTATCTGCCAGATGCTCATCTCCACAGTGCCTGGAAAAAGACAAGCAAGCACCCGGATCATCCCAGGAGGAGCAAAGCCTTGTTGTGGCAGGGCCGCTCATTGAATTGCCAGCCAACTGTCCCTTCCTTGGGACAATGTTTTCCCATCTTCAGGCAGAATCTAGGGGACAAGCACTTTATTTCTGCATTTCACCCAGACTTTCAAAGCTCTCCTCAAAATATTAATTTCAATGAAAGAGGAAACAAATCAATAGTTTCGAATTCTCTTAGGGGAGAAGACAACCAATAGACTGAGCCCAGGCTGGTAACTATCCTGCCAACCTCACCACATTATTTCCATTTACTGAACGGCAAAACTTCATACTTGGTACAAAATAAGACCTAATCAATACTCCAGTGCTGAAACACTATTACAGAGTACATATCGCTGGGTCCCAAGTTACGTGTGAAACTCTTCTGCCATATTTTATGGTCTTCAGTACAGTCTTAAACCAGGGGGTTTAGTAATTCCCAGTTTCAGTGGATGAGATTTATTAATATGCTAGAAATCCTTAGAATATTTGCCTCCTGTGCTTATAACTAATTTTGTGTAACTACATTACATGATTTAGTATCATTAGTATTCAGAGTTTTCCCCATTACACGATGCCTCATGATGTATGAGGTTTGGAACATTGCTCTCTAATCACATTAGAAAAAAATTTCATGACTACTACATACTAAAATTTAGTTCAGGGGGAAAAGGATGTTTCTTTCCCACAATTAATCCAGTATCCTGATATGATCTCAACAGAAATCAATTACTTGTCAGACATCCACTACTTCCCTGAAAAAAAAAAACAAAACAGCGAAAAACAAAAACAACCCCAAAAACAAAAACCAAAAAACCCCAAACTCCACCTACCTTTTAATTTTACAAGACAAGCAGACACAGAGCAACATCCGTGTGTCCTGAGCCAACCAATCCCCAAACCACGTTCAGTCAGTGCAATCAATCTGTTCAATTCACACCTTTCCATCACCGATTCCAAACAGGATTTAAACCATCAAGCAGAAAATTTAAGACACTGATTTTAACCTCGATTGGTATTTGTATTTATTTTCATTAAAGATCATTAGCTTTCATTAACTGGGATAGCCATCAAAATAGTAGAAATCTGCAGGCAATTATCACCATCAAAAAAATCCTAACTCAGTAAGAATAAGGGATGCTAATAAAGTGAAATGAAAAATGAATGTTTCATCACTACTCTTTTTTTCCCCCTTTCAAGATTTGGGGCAGAACACATGCACGTAAATGAATTAGAACTAAATGAAAAATGACAAAGCTACCTTAGGCATATGGGGCAGCTGAGAGGTTTCAAATTTAAGATTGATTAAATAAATCAGTAGCTGTTTCCAATGGGCTAAGTCTCTTGACTCCAAAGCTCTGAAAATGACTGGCTTTGCTCAAAGCATTGCTGTTTTAGAAATAAAGTCTTAAGTGGCTCTTCCTGTGTTTCTGTTCAGCACCTCATTTATATGAAGGGAGTTTCAGCACCCATCCTGCTTATATATACACCATTGAAAATATTTTGCATTTATGTCTTTTGTCACCTAAATGTTATTTAAATTTTGGTCCCAGGGTACAAAGTTTCTCAGAGCCATTCCCCCTCCACCTATTTCTTAACATCTCATTGGAAGCAAAAATCATTTTTTTTTTTTTTGTGCTCAGTGAAGTAATATAAACCCGTACAGTTCTTTACACATATTTATTAACGAAACTGAAACCAGTATTTTGCAGGAAAGCATTCTTGCATTAAAAGGAGGTATCTAAATAACCAGCATTGACTCCATTGTAAAGTGACAGGTACTTAAAGTATTACAAGATATTCTGGCATCCTAAATGCTTGAGGTGATGCGAGATATTAAAGATGTTTCCCAAATTCAGCATAAAATAGTGGAATTCTTTACCTGTATGAAATGTGAAGTTTCAGTGACAACAGGTTTTCAGTAAATCATAGAAAAATGGAAACATGAATTTTCTACCTATTTCAAAATATATTAAATTTTTAGAGTCGGACAAACTAATACTCTAACAGCAACCGTTAGACACCCTTCAGATTCTTATTCATTTAGAGTTTACTATTTGCTTCTATGGAACAAGAACCCAAAAGTTATTTTAATTTTTCCTTTTCTGAAAGAGGAAGAACCCCAGTTATTCACAAGGGTCACAGCAATTTCTTGCTCTTTTAGGCTTTATTTCTGTAAGCTTCCCAGAAATGTATAAAAAACTGCAATCAATCAAGACTTCTGTCATGAAATCACTTGTCTCTTTACAAAATTCCAGACAAAGCACATGAGCTAAAAAAGACAAATTCTTTTTTTAGCATTCATCCTCGGAAACAGTCTCTTTTGAAACCTTTCAGTAAACACGTCAAAAAGCCACTGGAAGTTGGTTCACTGATCTGGTTTCCCGTCCATTTGAACATATGGGGGCGAGGGGGGGAGGGAATGAGGACGAATCTTTTTTATTTTGCAGTTGATCAACATCACAGTCCATTTCTCAAGGCAATGAAAAAAATGCTTAATATGAGTCAACAGCTAACTACAATTTAACCCTCAATAAAAGTCTATTTTTGGCAGAAAGTTCACATTTTTTAAAAATTTCTGTAACTGGGAGTTAAAACCATTTCTTAAATTTACTTTAAACGCTGTTCATAATGAGGATTAAATCTTTTCATACCTGTAGCAAAGCCATTTCTGTTCACTGAGGTTTGAATTCTTCAAAAGACTGATGTTAGACAGGCAAACAGCAGACAGAAAAGCCAATTTTCTCTTCGAATTTAAGTAAGACCTTGTCCATTCCTTGAGTAACTTGTCTCTATTCTTCCAACCAGTGGCAGGAAGCCTTCATTTCTAACAGCTGATGTCTATACTCTCGATCTCCACATGCTTCATCCTTGCCACAACACATTTTGAGCATCCTTCTAGGATTAAAAAAATGTACTGTTTCCCTGAATGCACAATAAGGCACTGCATTTTTATCATTTCTAGCCTTGTAAATGGCACAAGCCATTACAGAACAGCCTGCCTGAAGAAACAGGATACAATATTCATGTAGTTTGTTAAAGGAGACAGGTCTACTTTTTATGGCAATCGACTGAAGCAAGAAAGACTTTCATTTAATTAAAATAAGAAACTAAGGATGAAGCAGACTTCAAATACCTTCAGTGTAGTAGTACAAATTTAGAGCAAATAGGGCTACAAGCCCTCACACTCAGGACTGCAAAAGCAGAAATTATTATAGTTCAAAGGTTGATCCAGGGTCACTGTGGAAACTGGCAGTGGGCAAGGAACTCTGACAGAAAGCAGTTGTACAAACCTCATAGGTCCTTCCTGCAGGTCCAAGATAGGCATGAAAGAGTTTGAGATCAAGCTCTGACAACTTCCATGCTGAAGCACTGCCCTGAACCAGTATCAGTTTAGGTGACTCACATCCCCAGTCAACACAACAGTACACTTAAATTTCTTCCTTACCACCCTGACTGCTCACTGTCCTCATTCTCAGTTTGTTTTTCATTACTACAACTTGCAGCCCAAGGCTGCTCTCCTCCATTATCTGCAACACAAGATGACTCCTTATGATAACAGTAACTTTCTCAGCAGTTGAACGTCCACAGTGGGGTTACAGAAGACAGAAATGGTACAACGGTCTCACAGGTATTTGCTGCCAGAAGACTCTTCAAATTCCAGTTAGAGTGTGAACTAGAAATGCAATTCCCCTCCCATCACCCCCCCCCCCACCCTCTTTACCCCCTGCATTGTTAGACCACAGCTAATGGAAAGACAGGATTCTGGCTGAGAGCAACTCTTCTTCCCCTGCTTCTGCCAAGGAACAGGGACGGTGAGCAGATGTTGTCAATTCAGATGAAAATGTGCTGTCAAAGCTCTATAATTATGCTTACACAATGTGCACCTATACAATGCCTGGCTCTAAGAGAGTTGCTGCGCTTCCACACATCCACCAATACCTTTAAAGTTACTCCAAACCATGTAACATTACAGCAGCAGAGATCACCTGCTGTTAGCAGGTTGGCAAGATATCTCCCCAAAATTAAACCAAAGCTTCCAGCTATTTCCACATCTATATTGATAAAACTATATATATAAGAAATAAATCCTGCTATTTACTTAGCACTTTTTATTATAAGAACTACGATGTTCATTTTAAGGCTCAGTGACAAATCCTGTTTGGTACATCATTACCTTATTAAAAACCTGTCACATGTACAGAGAATGCTAAGTTATATTAAGTATGCAATTAACTTGACAAAAACAGCCTGCTGCTTTCCACCTAGCTAATGCTGCAGCAAAGATGGCACGTTTTCAAGGGGTGGGAGAGAGACACCCTCTCCTTTCCTCACCAAAGCTCCAGATCCAGTTGAAACTCTAAACACAGCACAAACAGGTGAAGTGTCTCAGCCACAAAGGCAACACATCAGAAACTCAGCCATAACACTCCACTCCGGATCCACGTATATACATCAGTTATTGGGATGTGACTGCCACCCAACTGCAGTAAGTAAAAGAAATGGAAACAGCTATTTAAAATACTCCATTTATCCAGATATGAAGGGCTAGACTGGTGCTGAACAAGAAGGCAATTCAAAAGCAAAAACAAAAGATGCCGCAAAGTGACAGATGCTGATAAAGACAGAAATTACAACTTTTTGTCCAGTAATCAAAAGCAGCACAAAGGTTTTTTTTGTACAGAAGGCAAAGACCCGACAGCAGTGCCAGTGCACTGTGCAGTCACACATGGTATCGGTGGTTTCGGACATCAGCAAAAGACTGGGAATAATAAAGGAATGCCAGAGTCAGATCTTTAAACATCTTGGAAGGAAGTATATTAATATCATCACATGAGCTTTTTCACTTGTGTGTCCTGGTTTTGGCTGGGATAGAATAAATTTTTCTTCTCAGTAGCTAGAATAGTGCTGTGTTTTGGACTCAGTATGGGATTTGGTATGAGAAGAATGTTGATAATATACCGTTGTTTTTAGTTGTTGCTAAGAAATCAAGGATTTTTCTACTCCCCACGTCCTGCTGAGGTGCAGGTGCACAATATCCGGGAGGGAGCACGGCCAGAGCAACAATCCCAAATTGGTCAACGGAATACTCCATATCATACAATATCATGCTCAGTGAATAGATGAGGGTTGGCTGGGAAGCTTGTTCTCTCTTTCCAGGATTGTGGTTTCAGAATTTTCTCTTCTCTGGGATCACTATGTGGGAACAGGCTGGGCATCAATTAGCAGGTGGTGAACAACAGTATTGTGCATAACTCATTTGTATTTTCTATTATTACCACCATACTTATTAATTTATTTTTATTTTATTTCAATTATTAAACTGCTTTTATCTCAACCTATGAGTCTCCTTACCTTTACCCCTCTAATTCATTCCCCCCATCCCCAGGGGAGGGAGAGGGTGAGCAGTCAGCTGCGTGGCATTTGGCTGCTGGCTGGGTTTAAACCACAACACTTGTGCTATTGGAGGGCAAGTGCAGAAACCCAGTGTTATCTGCAGTAATTGAAATACCCATCAAAGGGAAACCTTTGCATGACATTTTAGGAAATGAAGGTTTCAGCTACACACCACAAGCATGTCAATGCTGCTTTCTACTCTGTAGCAAGCTTCTTTGGAAGATACAACAGGTCCAGTATCTTCTGTCAACAGGATTCCAGCATGACCCATTACTCTAAACATCAGTAAAGAAAGTGAACTTTACCTTTTGTCTCTCTACACGTATGAGTGGTCATACTCATGCATATAGTTGCACTATCTGAAAAGTCCTGTTAATTCATCTTTTGGTTTATATTCATTCACCTATTTCAGGAAACAACTTCAGCAATTAGATAAACTCTCTGCTTGTTCACTGAAGGGTTTTTTAATGTGAAGAGAAACGGAAGCTTCTGATTAACCACATGTAACTGCTTTACTACATTAAAATCAACTGGATTTTCAGCAGTTTCTAAGCTGTTCACACTTTCCTAAAAAAAAACCTCAGTGCTTAAGTCTTTAAACAGTTCATCCAATAAAGCTGGTGTCAAATACCAGGTGCTACAGATGCATCTCAGCTGCAGCTGAAAGCTGGCAATCTCCTTTTACCCAACATCCCAAGCCTTTCAGGAAAACAAGCCCAAAAAGAATGAATAACCTCAGGTCTTGACAAGCAAAGCTTCTTCCATTGGTCTGACTCAAAACATAAATGTTGCGTTGTTTTCAACATACAAGTCCCATCTATGCACCATGAAACAACGATGAAAAAAGTATGATGCAAAGTCTTCTTAAATAGTCACCCAAAATATAAAGAAAGCATACAGAAGCTTGATGCAAAATCCAGAAATAGTCCAGGGCGGTGCTGGGGTATCACTAAAGATTTAAGGACTACTGGGGATTATGTGGCCAGCCACAAACTGTCTTATAAGAGGTCATGACAGCATTCTCTGCTGCTAAGTTGAGTGAACAGACTGCCATCCCCCATCAGAGGTTTGTCTATCAGTGTAAAAAAAAAAAAAACCACCACACAACCAAGGAAGAGCATACAGTCATGCAGCTGATCGTCGACGAATCACAAAAACACCTCGCTGCAGCTGTCCCAGATAGATTCTCATCTTTGTGCTGTCACTGGTTTTCCTCACCCAGATCTGCATGAAAGAAAAAAAGAAAGGGGCAGGGAGATATATTGGGGGAGTGGGGGAAGGGAAAACCCACAGTAAGCAATACACAGATAAATAAGTCCAGGTATTCTTATTGACAGATCTGAACATCTTTTGTTCCTCAGGGTGCAAGGATGATTTACCTTAAGCCCTTCCCTCTGCCCACATTAGGCATTTGCAACCTGAGTAGAAAACGAAATAAGGTTTCTAACTTTGCCAACTTAACTTCCTGCTCAAAACAGTCATCAAGAAAAATTACTCTTTCCAAGCGTCATCAGGAAAGCAAGTTTCCTTCTGCTACAGTTCGCAACGGAACTCTGGCATTAGGCTTTACCTAATCAAGAATAAGTCTCTCTAGACCTACAGATCATAAAAGTATCTATCATGGGATTTGCTCAGACAAGTAACTATTAGTCAAATGAAAAGCTTATTCTGATTTTGTTCAGTGAAGCATTTATCACAATGTATTAAATAAATTGTATGTGAAGATAAAAGGGCTTCTTTTTTTAAACTCCTGCATGGAAGAATTCACATAACTTGCCAATATACCAGATGTTTCAAAGGACAAATTGCTTCCAAGGAGGCAATCACTCACCATTTTCAAAAAATAAAAATCACTTTCAAGAAGTTTAGACCCAAATACCTGTACTTTAAAAAAATCAAATCTGAGCAAAACTCCTCTGACTAATTCTAATGTATTTAAACATGTTTAAATAAATGCATGGAAGATAAGTTTTGCAGCTCTTAGTACTAGAGTATTTTAGGATGCAAATCCAGTATCACCTACTGCAAAGGACTATAAAAATTTAGTGTTGGTATGAGATTTATCCAAAACTTTTTCTTTTTAGATACTGTATCAGCTACAGACTTGGTACAGTAGATTGATGTAACTATTTTTTTAATTAGAAATTTACTTTACTAGTTGAAGCCCTCAATATAAAATATATTTTATATATGCCTGCATTTGTACTTCAGTTATTTCTCTAGAGCAAATAGAATCCATCTTCGTTAATAATCATCTCCCCACTGCAACATTTCCAAGAATTTGGTATGTTTTACTAAACAAAAGAATTCTTGAATCTACAAACTCTGAGCAACTGTATAGAACAATGAACACGTACAGATTACATTCTATGACAATACGATGGAATGTTATATTTGTTTTGCTAAAGTTAACTGCTTTGTTAAATTCTATTTGGAGGAGGATAAAAATTCAGTTTTAAGTGACCACAACACTGAAATTACTTATTAACTCTGACATGTGACACAGTTCAGAAAAATAAAAGGATCAAGGCATATTCTGAACTTGCAACTGATGGCTGAGACGTAAAATTGATTTTGCAATCAGATGATGACACCTATTAATTCTAAAGAACTGAAGGAGATGGTAAATAGAAAACAACCACAGCCATCTCTGAATTTCTTTAGAAAAATAAGCTGATTCCTCCTTTTTTTCAACTTCCAAACAACTGAGATTGCTGAATAAACTCATGGAAATAGAAAACTTTCCTGTATATACTGAAGAGTTTTTTGTTGTCAAAAAGCAAATGATTGAATTGGTTCCATGTACTTGGCCAATGATTTCTACCAATGCAGTATCGGATTCACAGTTTTCAAGGAAATGACGTAAAAAGTAATATATATTCTGTTTCGATCTAAACACATCACCAAGTTTTAAAGAATTTGGGCCTGGGAAGATATTTTTTGTTCATTTTTTAGGGGGGGGATCATCATAGCTCAGACTCTGTGCCTGAGAGGTCCATAGCCGATTACAAAATTCAACACCAGTTTAAGAAAATTGATTTAGACCTTCATATGAACAAAGATGCCTCTGACACACTGTTAACTACTTCCTTTCCCCAGCCACAGGAAGGCAACTGTATGCCATAATGTCTCTGACATTTCTTAGTTAAGTCTTTGAGCACAAATGGCAATGCTGGTGGGGAGACACTGTGCAACTATTTTCTGTAAGGTTCCTCTGAGTATCTTGACTTCCTTTAGAAATGCTATCAACTTCTGACTCAAGTCTACATTTGGAGACCTCAAATCTAGGTCTGCCTTCTGGCTTCTAAATTCAAGCAGGAACCAGTAAGATCATAGCTGGGCAACCGTGCTTCTGAATGTGTGATGAAATTCAAGATGTGCCCATTGCACTCCTACAGAGAACACCTTCTCATTTTAGTATTCTGTTAGGTGTTTATCTCCCTTAGCTTTATATTGTTGCAATTAACCATCACAGGGTAAACAACTGCCATGCCTCTTCCCCAGCCTCTCTCTAAAAAACCCCGTAAAACAAAACCAAAAATGACAGTCTCACTTTCAAGTGGAATTCATGCAATTATAATTAACAGATTGCATTTCCTTCAGGTTTCAGGTAAGATGCTCCCCAAAGATTGAGTTTTAATGTTTTAATTTAACAGTAATAAATTTAATCAAATTAACAGTACTGTATTTTTAATGCATCTGTTAGCACGCTACTACTCCTTTATCTAAATAACCAACCGTTGAGCATAACAACTGTTATTGCAAGGAGAACAGTTGTGATACAAAGCATATCCCATATGCAACTCATTTTGTTGAAAATAAAATATTTCCCTTAGCTGCCAAAACAAATTGAAGTTAGCTTATTGGCTGATTGAAGAGAAATGCATTCAAGTCTATTTCTTTCCTTGAAGTGTCTGGAATCTGCAAGCAAAGAATTAACTGCTCTGTTTGCCCAACTGATGCACTGCTCGAGCACTGAGCTTATTTTGCAGCAAGACTCACAACAATCTTAGACACCCACCTCTCTTCATCTGCTTCTCTGAGCCTTAATCATTAGCCACAAGGAAATTGTCTCAGAACAATGGACCCACCTGCCCAACCTCCCAATGAGGTCATGAATGGTGCCAACTTCAACACATGTACTCAGGTTAGCAGGAAGAATTTTCTCCCCTTATAACAACTAAATTTGGTGTCAAAATTTTTCCTCATCCTCTTCTGAATTCCCAAAGGGATTCTTTTTTTTTTTTTATTTTGCATTAATAATAACTGTACGTTCTTGAAATAATGGAGGTGAAACTTATGAATGCAGTGCCAATGAGATGCAACATGTCAGTTCTCCCTATTTTTCCTGCCTGTCAAACAATTACTTGCAAAATGTAAGATCATTCTTTAAAAACACAGCAAGTCTCTTCCCATCTCAGATCTATCTTGAGAAGAGATCTCTCAACTCAGTTTTACCTTGGATTCAGCTTCTTTAGGCACCAACTACATCTTTTCTGAAAGTAATACTGATTTTCTCCTAGTTCTTACTAGACAGCCATCTACCTGCCTACACTGACCCACAGCTTTCCCCACTCCCATGAAAAACAAAGCAGCCCACTACCTCATTGGCGCCCACAGAACTGATCACGCAGCTGATCTTAGTGTTCTCTTTAGACTCCAGGTAAATAGCTTGGCTCTTGTGGTACCTGCAAAAAATTAAAAAAAAAAAAAACAAACAAACAAAAAACAACAAAAAAACACCACATGAAACCATTAGCTGTCCAAAGACTGAGAGAAGAAACAGCAATACAATGGATAAAACTAAGATTCTACAAACATTTGGAAAGAGCAAATATGAAGCCTGTCTTTTTTCTTTCCACACCACTTTCCCCATCCTCACCAATATAGCAGGTGGTCTAATTCTACACACTCACACACACAGACTTTGCATTTAAACAATGCTTCAGCATGCATGAAGCTCTCAATTCACATTCAGTTCTGTATGTAAATTACTGAAAACAGATCTCACATCTGGTAGAGGGAGGGGCAGAGCACCAAGCCACAGGATAAGAGAACAGTGATTGACAATAAGCCCATGTTTCAACAGTTAAACTAGCCTTTCCTGTTTCAGACACAGGATGGGTTTTATAAGGCAACTCCATATTATGCCTCATATGTCAGAGCAAATCAGATACTCAGAAGTTATTCACATTCCCCAACACAAAATTACTAGTGCAACAACAAGTGAATTGTACTCAATCAATGTAATCTGTGTATGATTTAAACAGAGACCTCAGATTTCTAATGCTGTCTTATTTTGTGAAAATACCCAAAATGGTGATGGGTAACTGACTCTTTAAGAAGCTGTATATCTCTGTCATAAAGAGGCCGTGTCTAAGCATATCCATTTTTCCCCCCTTTTAGATCATATTTTAGTCATATTTTTCTTAGTGCATTTTGTATAAAACAAAGACTTCAAAATTCATAACTCTGAATTGCTTGATTTTGGTCTTAACATCTTCACAGACCATGTTTCTGTTAAGTGCTGTAAAGTGTGCTAGACAAAACTCCCCAGTTCCAATTTATTCTGCCTAGGAGAGTTCTGTGAGCAGAACTACTTATACTGAAATAGATTATTTGTAAGTAAATAATCTTAATCAAGGGAGCACCAAAATGCTTTATAAAAGCATAACTATATTTCTACCTTTACCCTAATCATGATGTGCTTCATATTTAACTGGGCAATCCAAGTTGCAGAATCACCGTACAGATTCCCTCAATAACTACTCAGCATGCAACTCCCTGCAGTCTGATTGGCTGGCAGCCATTTGTCAAAACGCATGGATTTGCATAGTCTTTACAGTTATTTCTACAATAACCATACTGTAAATATGGAAGTCTTCCAATAGTTTATTCCACAGTCTCTTCCTACTGGCTCTTGTACCCAAAATTTCCACACTGCTTGTCAGTAACAAGAATGATAGTGTCAGCTTTCAGCCTTCCAAATGTACTAATTACCAATGGGCTGGGCAAGGTAATATAAAAACTCCCAAATCCTGCAACCTCTAGAGACTCGAGCCCAGCCATTCTTCTTTCTCCCTCATTTTAACAGAAAGGATGTCAGTGGGTTCCAGGGCAATGCAATAGCAGCAATGATCTGAGCCAAAAATCTGTTTACTGAGCCCAGATGACCATTAATTGATATAAAGGAACAGTATAAGCTACTACAAGCCACACCTCACTAAGACAAGACATAAAAGTCTCAGCCCAGCAGTGTCCTACCATGCCATGCTGTGACTGCTTAAGCAAGGAGAATTGATCTTGATACAATCAGTGCACAAGTTTCCGAGTGCAGAAGATACCACTGCAAATGACAGCTCTCAAGTGGTATCTGTGTCCACGCAGACAATGAAATATTTTTTCCACTCAAAGCTATTTCTTCCCATGTTTGATTACCAGTGAATTCCAAAGCTAATGACACACATGAAGCAGGCTTCAGCCCTGGGATTTCACATCACAAAGTTACTGTCCATCAGTAAATCTGCTAACTGTGCACAGAAAAGGCAAGGTAACGAGTTCAGCACTTTTTCACGAAGAGTTGTCTCAACTGTCTCAGACTCCATGCACGCAGAGACACAAAGTCAGCTGAAGGCTCAGCAGCCTGGCACATCTGTTATGCATTCATGTCTCAGCCTTTTGCAGAGTTTATATACCCACAGGGGAACACAGGGGTAGATCTGCAGAAAATACTTCTGATGAAAAGTCCAACAGAATTTAAGTTGTCTTTCAAGAGAAGGAAAGTGTCAAACAACTCTTGCTTTTGCAGTGGGTAAAATACACCACAATACTGACAAATGAGGCAAGCAGAAATAATTCCACTTTCTGCTACAAAATATTTTGCTGAAAGGCCAAGATTTTTCAACTGCATCTCCATCACAAGATTGAAAGAAATCACTCTACACTATTGTATCCACACAAAGCTAGAAGCAAAAAGATGGTTGTTTTATAGCAAACTGTATTTCGGATCTTATATGGGAACATGGAGCAAATTGACTGAGGAAAAAACTGAAGTCTAATTCCACCTCCATCTGAAACTCCCTATATAAAGTCTCCACTTTGGAGACATGTTTGTGAAATGTCTCTGCAAGACCTTAGGGAGTCCATTACTAGCCTTGAACATTCACTATTTTGAGATAATGGTCCTTCATGGCTGCTGTCAGGAAACAGAGAAAGTAGTCACTCCCGAGCTGTCGTTTTTTTTATTTCTGGTACATGCCAGCAGCTACAGCCTTAATACACCTTAGAAAAAAATTACCCTCCCACTATCAAGAGTTACTTCATTATTTTAAAATAACAGCTATTTTGCACAAGTACTATTACTATCAATCAAAAAATCTAAGCAGGATTATTACAGCCAAAAAATGTGAAGTACTTAACTTAAAACAGCATAAGAACAAGGAAGACAGGAAAGGCAACAGCTGGAATCCCTGACAGCGAGACCCCCATGACAACTGAATTCAGCAAGATAAAAATATCTGTTAGTGTCTTATGTCCAAACTGGATACCTTTTCAGGGAGAGGTTCTGCTTTTGAGAGATTCATCTGGGCTCATGGAAGCTCTCCCAGGTTTAAATTTGGTGGAAGCTTGGGAGCTTTACTGACAGATTATTCTAGATTCCTTCTTTCCTTTTTTCTTTTTTTTTTTTTTTTTTTTTTAACTTATGCAACACTTTACAGTACTCCACATGCTTAAAAATTCTGAAGAACAGTTTATTCATCCAAATATATCCTAGAGGATAGTCACTCTACACATTAAAAAAAAAAAAAAAAACACACCAGGAAAGCAAAAAAAGAACTTAATGAATTTTTGAAATGGCAGGTAGCCTGTTCAGTTCATGGCTGCTTTACACTTCACAGAAGTTTAAGCTCCAGGCAGCAGCTTTTATTAAATCTGCATATATTGAACCCTCGATGAAACTGCACTGTTAGATGAAACTAGCAGAAGGAAAAACTGACCAACTGTACAAGATGGCTGTTGTGTAGAAAGCAAGCTTCAAGCGTATCTTTTTCTGTGATAAAATTATAACCTCATCACTTGTTATTTTGAGCCACCAGAACAGCCAAGTAGGCTACAAAGAAGCATACGACTTGCAAATTGCTTTCTGCTCGAGGAGTACTAGATTGCCCCCTTGATTATCCAGTTTTGCATCTCTCACGGATTAAGTTTAAGACCTACTAAGATCTCTCTGCAAAATTTAATATTTTCCTTGCGTTTTGTGAGGCTTCCACAGTTATATGCCCATAAAACTTAACAGAGCTAAATCCAATCAGCAATTCTGAAGTTGCTTCTCCCATGTGGATTTGATCTTTAAAGGTTATTTGGGTTTGTTATTAGAAACATTTTTCATTCTGCTCATCTGGCACACAACATTTCTTCTGCCACCCTGTGGAACAACGGGCTAGCGCTGTACAAAACGGAACACCAGGACTGTGAACACTGCTGACACCACCGCTGCGCGATCGGAGTACCCACATCCTCGCCGCCTGGCTTCACAGCTACATCACACGGCATCTGCTGGTGGCTCTCTTACCTAACATTAGGTTTGACAAAAATGTTTCCCAAGTGCCAGAGTGTGCGCCACTAACTCCATGGAAAAGATTTAAGTCTCCTTTTATTCAAGCCAGTAATTACTCCTGAAAGTATGTCTAAACACTCCATTATCACTTCTGATTTACTGGAGTCGCAATGACTGGCCCCTGGAGGAAGTGGCTAAACTCTTTGCAAAAACACTGTCCTCAAATTCTTTTATCAAAGCAATTTGTCTCTGCACTCTTCCTCTTCTCACTACACAACATTCAAACTGATTAAAACATAAATTTACCAGGACTCACCATCTCTTATCATAGTAGAGTTTTCCATCTTCTATCCGGGCTTCAAACCGCTGTGCTGGAGACTCTGCTGGTGTAGCTGGGAGGTGTTCGGGAGAGGAGGGAGAGGCTGAGGACAGGAGAGAGACTGTGTTTAAAGACCAGCATGTGTCCACTACACAGTAGCACATATGACTGCAGAGCTGCAATTAGTAAGGTCATATTAAGCAGAAATAATAAGCACAGAAAGCTACAAACTCCGATTTCCATCTGAAAAATATTCTCTATTGGGATGAATAATTCAACCTCTGCCTTGAATATATAAATGATAATATTCACTGAAATACAACATTTATCTGAAAAAATGTTGATAGGTAGGTGATAAAAATTACATCCTTAATTTTGTTTTAATTCTAGTCTATAGTAAAGTAGTTAAATAGGGTTAGAATTACTTAGGCAAGTTGGTACCAATCTGTCTTGAAATGAAGTGTACATACACATCTAGAGAGCTGAAGGCACAGAACCGTAAGATCTCAATCCCTCCATCTACCTGACAAGCAGGCAAGCTGCCCAGATGCATGTGAATATAACGGAAAAAACTTCTTTACGCAATTAGATTGTTCCATGCCCAAATGTTTCAGCCACCAAAAATGCATATGCCTCCCTTCCCATCCCTGACAAACTTCAGAACAGATGAAGAGACTTCACACAGCATCCATTCACCACAGAAACTACACAAAGAACAGCAATTACATAGTCAAAACAATTATACAGTCAAATTACACAGTCAGCAATTATACAGTCAAACAGTCTACAATATAATTCTCTGTTCAAAACAGCATGACTGTGAACAAGTTCCAACGCAACTGTTAACTCACCTGGTCTCTTGGGTGATTTAAGCTACATGGAAAGAGAGCAAAGAATTAGAGATCTGACATGAACCACAGAGGTCTGCAGTAATAATTTCAGACAGTCTTACTTTCCATACTCTAAACGTTTCTTTTTTAAGCGTACTGTTAAGTGGCATAAGACATAACCAGAACAGCATGCTATAATCAGCCAAAGGCATAGATAATCAGTAACATGATACAAAAGGTCTACCACGTAAACTTCAGAGCATTCAGATAATGCACTGAAGTCAAAACCAAACCCATCTAACAGACTATACTTTTGAACATGATCCAACATTTCAAGGTACACAAAACACAGGAGCTAAATCATTAGAGACACCTCAACAGCTGGCACAAAAACCCATGATCCACTACCATCCTCAAGTGCATTAATGAACAGCCTCTATTACAAGAAATTAGGTAAGCCTTAAAGAGTTTAGCAAGAAAGCAATAGGTTAATCAAATCTAGAAAAACTATAAGCACACATGCTGCACCCTATCTAGTTTGCTGAAGTATTGCAAGAGTGGGGAGCAAAATAAAAAAAAAAAAACCACCCTAAAAAACCAACCCTACACTAAGGCCTAAAACAAAGGCAGACTTTAATTTCACAGAAAAACATTTTAACATCTGTTCAGCCATGCGGAAGAAACTTCTTAAGATAGCTCATCACTTGGTTCAGACAAAAGGTAACATTTTTAGATGACAGTCATTTTAATTAGGTTAATTAAACCTATTAAAATAAAAGGGAGGAGATACCATCTTGCTAAATCTTTTATTGTGTTACTTCAGAAAGCCTACTGGGATGAAATAGTCCCACATCTCAAAAAGGAACAGAGCGCTCTGCTCTTTTCAGGAGAAAGCATTAGCTTTAAAACAAAGAAACACAAATCAAGCCATAATCCCCACCTTATTCAGCGTTCTCAGGTCCTCCATTATCTGCTCATCAGTCAACAAATAATTTAGCTGAGGTATCCAGAATTAAGGTTCCCATAAGATCTTGACAAGCAAGACTAAAAATTTTAACTTACTCAGACATAACCATCAATGATAAACCTTTAGTGCATCGACTATGCCTTCATAGAGGCATCAAGCACTAGCTTTTTCAGTGGTTTTCTTCTTTAATTTCTGTAGAGAACAATCTGGGAGCTGAAACAACAGCCTCACTTCAGATTTTGTACAATGAAGCTGAACCCCACACACATATAGGACAAGAATCTCATTTTGCAATACAGTAAGCAGGAATAGAGAGATATAAGGAGAAGAGGTGAAAGCCCCACCAAAATACCCAACTCAAAAAAAGAAACAGAAAATAAAGCCAGAGGCATAAAATACATCCTTGTGTAAATAAGTAAGAGCCTATCATTGACCTGAAAACAAAAATAAAATCTCAGAACACAGAGGTTAGCGTATTATAGCCTTGTTAGAGCTCCACTGTCATTTTGTGTAGTTTCACAATTGCATCTTCCTACTTCCCTTTTCTACTGCTCCTGTCACTTTCACACAAGAAAAACCTAAATATGCAGAAGGAAAACAATACCCAAAGCAGTGGACCCTCCCTACAGTTTTAGTCAACAGTGTTTCTTCAAAACAGCTGTTAAGTCAAAAGTATTCAAAGTATTAAACTAAAGTTAACAATTGCTAGGGTACATTTTAATGGTTTTGGTTCTGATGGACTTTAATCCTCTCCCACTGGGAGGAGGAAAGGCGATAGAGTTTCATACTGCGGCTGACCTATCATGCTCAATTAGCAGGTCATGTTCACTACGAAATTCATTTATTTTGGATGAGATAGGGGCACTAATAAATAGATGATTTTTTTTTCCTGAAAGAGTGAACAGAACCTCCAACAAGAAAGAGGTTAATTAAAACTGGAGATACTTGTGACCATCCCACATGAACTCCAGAAGTTCAAGGTTTGATAGTGCCTTCAGAAAACGTGAGTTACTCAAAAGTTGCAAGATAATTTTTTTTAATCTGATTTAAGCCATACAAGTTTGGAATCTAATAATAAGCCTCTGCAAAGCAAATATCATTGCCTTCCTTTCCAGGTGAATCCAATATACAAACAGAAATAGTGACTATCATCACAGAGGAGCTAAAAACATATTTCCAGAAGCCAAAGAACATTTTAATTATAAGAAACATGCAACAAGGCAGAAGAGAAGGATTACATCTACACGTTTTTCTCTCTTGTGATATATAAAAACAAGATGGATTTTCATGTTTTTTTATTCAAAGAACAAATCTAGTACGCTTTGCTTTTGCTATGCATCTCTCTGGATTAGAGACCTGAAGCCTTTATCAGAAATGGAAAAACTAGTTTGATATGACAAATATGATCTTTCTGGCAAATGTTTTGTCACATCTTGAAATGAGAAAAGGCTTGGCTCATATAAAAAGCCATTTACTATCTATGGAATCAATTACCTCAGCATTTACAGATAATGTTCTTTTAAAGTTTTTCCTTTGTGAAAAAAAAATGCCTGAAGAATTCAAACTATTCTCATGGACAAAAAATAAAATATCAAATAAGTAATCTCATGACACTGAAGTTTAAACTAGGATACCAAGGGATCTCCAAAGGCTGGTTGTTGTATTACTTAATCGCACATCATACATGATAAATTGTGCTTCAGTATTTCCTAGATTAAAATCTGATCCTAGCATCTCATTTAAATTTGGTTCCTGTACAAAACAACAAAGATGCGGGTAGCATGCTGGCTTCAAATACAATAGCCCTCCAACGACTCTGTAAAAGGATATCAGGGGCAGGCTTCCTCCTCTTGTCTGGGATAGGTACTGGATCATTTGGTCGTCGCCTCAGTTTCCTTGTCATAATAGGCTTCACTTCCATTGAATCTGTAATGAAGTTGGAGAGCTGATAAGACCAGAGGGAAAGGAGTAAGAAGCAGCAGTTTTCTACCCAAGGCACAAGGAAAATGAGCTTTCCTTTTTCATACAGAAAATTGGTTGGGTTTATTTTGTGATAGCTTCCAGCATCCAAGCTGGAACTGCTGACAGTGAGTACAAGTTCTCTTTCATACTAGGTCACTGTTCAGTAACAGCATTTCAATGCCACGGTTACAGCTTTCCTTGGCTGGAAGTGGCACAGTTGGTTTGGGGGCATTTTGCAGCTGCTTCAGGTACAGATAACCAGCACAAGAATGCTGCGAGGATTCTGGGCAAATTTCTTTAGAGCTAATGCTATCTGCTTTTGAACAGATCATTTAAAAGGCAAAGTCCACGGAGTTCTTTGCTAACAAAACTTGGATAGTTAATAGCATATAAAACCCTAGCTACAAATCAGTTGCTCTTTTTCTTGTCTTCAAGGCAGAAAAATAGCTTTGTCAAAGGATTACTGATAATTACTGTGCTCAAGACTGATACAAGCCTGCTGGAGTAATTTTAAACACAAGTTGAATTTAAATTCAGATTATCTAAAAAAGTTTCAAATTATGATTAATGAAATGAACCTAATTAATAACATGCAGAGCAGTAGTTGACAGGAAATAAATTGTAGCATATGCACTCAGGAAAAAGAATAATCTGTTAAAAACTGAAACATAAGTCTCATCACCAAGTAACTATCTGAAATTCCAGTTTGTCCAAATGTCTACAGGTAGTCTTAACAGAAAAACTCTCACAAATCATTCCTTAATTTCTACCTTGAATTGGCAACCAAGAGACCACACCTTAAATGCTAAACACAATCTCAACTCTCTTTATACGGGCTGAGAATTATTTGCTCATCTTTGAGTACACCTGAATCACATCCTGGGTAGCGCTTAAGTCTAGGAAACCTCTTTGGCTCCCTCTAGATGCTAAAACCTTGAGCAGCTATGCTATGCATGTTCAAAATACGCCAAGTTACTCTTCCCCTTATCTCAAGGGTGAACAAAGATGACCATGCTACACGTCAAGGGAACAAATATTATGAAAAGAGCTTTAAAAAATAAAAATACAAAGTGCCACCCAACAAAGGAAGCCCTAAGTGTATGTGAAAGGAAACCTTATCACTGGGATTCAAAACTGAATTTGAAAAACACTGAACGTTAATAGCCCTGCAAACACTGAAAACATAACTTACTGTGCTCAATGTAAGTCATTCTTCCCATTTGTTAAGACCAATTTACAAGAGCCTCAGAAGAGGGGTCTAAAGCACTTAAGTCAATATGCAGCCAAGTTGAGAAGGCTTTTTCTCATTTTTAAAAATTAGTTTAAAATTAGTTGTCACAGAGCTCTTATCTATATTGCTTAAAATGTGAATAAAACAGAGATCAATTTTCTTCTCTCTGTCTTATCATCCTGTATCTTAAAATTATGGCAAGTCAGCACCAAACAAGCTTTCCGAAAAAAAAAAAAAAAAGAAAAAAAAAAAAACAACCCACACAACAGAGTTTGAGAGTCTTACATTTACTGTTAAGCATTTGATAACTTTAAGACTGATAGATTCATGAAAACTTTATACAGGAACTTTTAAAGAGCTGCTAAAGCACCAAAAGACTGAACCTGAAACACAGTCTTGCATGAGGTTTAATAGTTAAAAACCACACTATGCAATGCTCCAGAATAGGAGACAACTATTGCAACCTAATGAAACTGCAGTATTCCCAACACTCACAGATGAGCCTATTAGTCAGGTTTCTAACTTGCATCCTTGTGTACACTGAACTTCAATAGGTTTTGAAAACCACTGAGTCCACATCAATTTCAGTATTCTTATTTCTTAGCCTCCAGCACATGTTCACAAGAAGATCCGTTACTTCTAAAGAAATCACACTGCACTTCTAGTCTGGAACAAAGGAGATAAGGGAGGGCTAACAAACACAGAACGGATCTCTTCTCCACAGTTACTTACATGCCTTTTCCTAGAGTTGTATTTGATGAAACAGCTCACATCTTCTGGACACACAACAATGCAGGGCACATTTCCCTGAAGAGGATTAATCTGGTCCCCAAATCAGACTAGTACATACCTTTTACCCCTCCTCAGTCTCCCTTTAACTCTGCAAATCCATATCCTGATGTTAACAGCTGTCCCACTGATAGAGAAATTGGATTCCTTCAGACTCCTAGAACACTGGTGTGCAGATTTCCAAAGGTAAGATCTAGTCAGATCCTGATCCACTAATGAAAATCTGCTTACAAGATTAGTACTGTATCCCAACAGACACAGGCATGGGACAACAGGAAAATTAAAGCTAAGGCACAGTTTGTAAGATCAGACTAGACTTCACAATAAAAAATAAATGAGAAAAGAAAAAAAAAAAGAGATGAGGGAAACAGCACAGCTCAAGCTGTCTTCCAGACCAGATTAGCCCTAATAGTTTGTACAAAGTCAAGAGCACTCCTGAATATGTCCAAACAGGTTTTAATTCTCGCTGATGAATACTAATTAAATTATTAGCTTTCATAACTCTGTAAATACTATGCAAGAAAGATATAAAAAGGTCGAACTCATGGACAAGCCTCAGCAACACAACCAACATTATCTGCCCATGAAGCGAGGGAGTTGCTCATAAAAAGAGAATCAAATCAGACTTTTGGTTCAGTACCACAACAACACAATTTGTGAAGGAGGCCAATTACCCCTCCATTTAGCTCCGCTGTGTCAATTACTGCAAAGAGCATTGCCAAGGCACCAAGGGTACCAGCTGGTCTCATGAAAGAAATCTGTCCATTTAATGTCCATTTTCCAGAGTCTGGACACAAATGTAGCTCACAAATCTATTTTTCTGGCTTTAAATAGCTTATTTCAACCTTGACTGTTTGCTTTTCTTCAACTTCTGGACTACCTGTTACTGGAGAAAAAAAGGACACAGTTTATAATCTGGCACCACCAGTTAGGTCAATATTGTGATACACCTCAATAAGTTTTATTGCCAGATCACAGGAACTAAAGAAGCCCCTTTCCCTGCATATAAGAAAGCCTATCCACCCTGCTGCTTCATTGGCACTATTTTGATTCACCTGTTAGTAACTCAGGTCACTGAATTTTATTATGAACTGCTTTCTCCATTAAATGACCACCAATTTGTGCTCTACACCTCTTACCACCGGAAAGCTTTAAAGCCTTTATACTAGCTCCCTATATAAACCAGCATTGTTACTTTTATGTCTTTTTTTTCCTCCTCTAAGCAATAGCAGAGTGGATTAAGACAAACGCCTATCTTGTTTTTACCTCCTGTTAATTCCATGGTTAGTTTTTCATTCTCAATCATCTTCTTTTTCTCTTCCAACTCCGCAATCAAATTTTCTTTAAGCTCAATTTTCTTATCTTCAAACTCCTTTGCTGCTGCCTTCTTTTCCTTGACGTAATTTTTTTCCACCTGATCTGTCTAATGCAAACCAAAAGAACAAACAGGTTAACTAAGGAACCAATGACTCAATGAGATCACAACAGCTTCTTTCAACTACTGATTAGCTTATCAGTTCAAAACTGTAGCTAGTTCTGAAGATTATCAATTCAGAATAAAGAGAAAAACATCTAAAAATTACTAAGTAAGCAGTACTATATTGGCAAAAGAATTAATTATTTTTAAAAAACATTTTCATGTTGAATAACATAGCAAGCCTCTAGCAGAGAGCTCTTCAGATTTATAAACAACACAATCATTTATCACCTTAAATGGCCTTTTTAAACAAGCCAAATGCACAGCCAGCATATAACAGCCCAAGATCAAGTATTTCTTTTTATTTTATTTTAATGATAAAGTCCAGAAGTTACCTGTAGTAATACCAACAGAAGGCTGTATTACGTCTCAAGTGTAACAATGCTAGCTAGAGGAAGAAAATTTCTTTAAGCCTTCTGAGAGAACAAGCACAAGCACTAGTTGATGAAGCAGGAGGTTTATACCTCTTTCATCTAGTTAATATAAGTTTTGATAAATTAAGAGTACTTACTTCCAGCTGGAGGAAGAGTTCTGAAAGACAAAAAAGACAATTTATTATCTTCAAATATGCACAACAGCACTTCCCTAACATTTAAAGTCATTGAATATTGCAGGCAAGAGAGGCAGTGAACCAGTGAATGTACTCATCCAGCCTCCACTCACTTTGCAGTTTTACACTGAAAATAAAGTAACTATGAAAATATTCCACAAAAATACATGGTTAATTGAAGTTTTCTACAGATTGTCAAGCAGATTTGCAAAGCTTACACAGCAGTTTTCCATACTATTCAGTTTAGCTATTATTCCCAGCAGTACTAAGCATGTAGTCCATCTTTCTTCCAGTTTAACTACAGTCAATTAATACTTGACATGAACTTCCCAAATGGAAGCCTGAAACATGTAGCTGAAGGTGTGACTAGCAAAAATTCACACTTTAAGCCAACTTCAGGAATTTCAGCAATGACTGGTTCAGAAATAATTCTACAGCTGTTTGAAGATTCATCTACTCAACTCACATGTGTCTGATTTCAGGGTGTTTACACCTGAGAAAGCAAGCAAGGGAATTGTTATGTATCACTGAAGGTTAAGTTCTAAACACACGGCAACCATTAGTTCAAGTCAGACCTATGGATGAGGCAAATGGATTTCTGGGTGTGAAATAGTCCTGTTACCTATGTTCGTGCAAATCTTAACAATTTGAAATTAAAGAGGGTGAGACCCTTCTTGTGTTTCCTGGAGGACACAATGCCCCAAAAAAAGTTTTTACTCAAGATAGTGGCAAGAAAAGCAAACTAAGGCACCTGATCAATCCTCAGGTTACCATATTTCACCAGCCTATCAAGCCTTGGTAATACCTGAAATAGTAAAAACTTCTGTAAAGATCACAGGCTTCGCATGTTTTGGAGAGGACTATAGTGGCAACACTGTACTACTGTGCCTTTTTAAAAATAAATTAAAAAAAAAAAAAGAAACAACAAAATAAATACCAAAGAGAATAATGGCCCAATAAAAATCAAATCTTTTGTTTGCAAAGACCTCTATCAATTGAGCATGGAAGCAGTATTATGGAGGTAATCAAATACAGGTATATCTAAACTGATGCTTTAATATCTGTGAAAAAAAAACCAAACTCAAAATGAGAAGGATAAACATAAAAGACCATTCTTCCTGTAGTACCAGGCAGTTGAATTTTTTTATCATAAAATTGAAAGTTATTACCATCTGCCCTCCTGTGGAAGAAATGTGTTGCTGCAGCACTGGTCTTTGCCAGAAATACAAGTTTGCATTTAGTCTTAATTTTACCAAAACTACCAAATATTGCTAGAATACAGATCTAGTGTACATGAAATTCATCTCAGAAGACAGATTCTTGTTAACTAGAAGTAGCTCAACTCACTTAATTCCTCAAGACGCAATTTATACTATTCAAAGGTTGAAGTATGTTAGCCATCATACAACTGCCACTGCCTCTGTCATATTTCCCAGAGTCATGGCCCAGGCATTACAGGATTCACCCAACTTTTGTAAAGGAAAAACAGCTACATTTCCTATTTCCACATAATAGCTTATATAAAAGGCCCTGCTTCGGTATCTAAGATAAGAACCTACTGGAAAGAGAACAAACAAGAAAGAGGGAGGGCAAGCAAACAGATCTGATTTCCAAGCCATTTCTCTGCACTAACACAATAAAGACTACCCAAAAGGGCTGAGAGCTAGGCACTTTATAAAAATTCACCTGGGCCTTCGCTCCCGAAACAGAGCAGAACACAAAGTACAGGCAGTCCAGTCAATGTCACAGTTATATAGAACAACAGTTTCAGCAGCAAACCCTCTGTAGGGCAGAAAACAGATCTTTGGGAAAGCATGTAGCCCTAACTTTCTATTCCTGCAAAACTGAAAGAAATTGTGCACCTGAAGGTTTCAGACAAGTTGCACAAGAGCAAGCCAAAGTGGGAGACTGTAGGTTCCGTATGGTGCCAGACAAAAATGAAATATTTTTTTTTAGTTGCACTGTTGCACACAAATGAAGACTAAAACTGTTTACTGGTGTTTAGTAAACAGTCAGCAAACAATGTTGATGAAGGAAAAAAAAAATCAAGACCAATGTCACCATGCTTTGTGCACTCTCAAAAAAACCTACACTATACCCTTGGAAGCAGAAGAACCCTTTGCTCCAGTGAGCTCCTTTTCATTAAAGGACAGAATTAGCATTATTTTCCTTCAGAAGTTATAGAAACCATAAATTTAAGTTGTATGCAGCATCTTAGAAAGAAAATCAGCTTACCTGCATTTCGTATCCTTTCTTTGTACTGCTGGTCCAACTTCTTCATTCTTTTCTGATATTCCTGAAGGGTACCTAGATTAAATAAATCATGGATTCCCACTAGAATTCTGTTTCCAAGTACTAAATTTTCTCAAGGAGCCATATACCACTCAAAACACAAATACCAGTATCTGAAATTTTTGATAAGCACATTCCCCATTTCTTCAGAAAGCAGCCTATTCCTTTTTAAGAAATGCTTCAGTATACAGAGGCTTAATTATACATGTTTAGAGGGAAAAAGGATGGAAAATTGTTGACATTTGTCACTCAGCAGCATGACTGAATGCCAACATTCAGCAAAGGATGCTGCTCATATCTTTCAAACCCCTCATCCTTCTATGACCCTTGAAAAGTGCTGAAAATAGTTTAGGAAAAAACAAGCTACCCCCTTCAAAGCTTACCTTCCTGCAATTGTTGTAATTGCCTCTTAAGAGATGCCAGTTTGTCCTGATACATCCTGCAAAGACAGAGAGCATGCAACTTTACTTTGAAACAAGTATACATAGTTTATTTCACCATCTGTTTAGGTTACAACATGTTTATATGGAATTAAAAACTTTTCAGAAGAGCTTCAGGAAACAAACAAACGACAACTAAAAGAATATTATGTAAACGAAAGGCTATCACTCTGTCTAAAACCCATGTCACCCCATTGGTTTTACAATGCACCCAAACCAATTATTTTGGGAACAGTTCAGGGTAAAATAGGATATATTTTTTTTTTAATGTTGAAATGTAAAGTGACGTTTAGATTTACAGATGCCAGAAACTTTAAAACAGAATCATTCTGCCACTTTGTCAAGCCTTAATATTTGTGTATTAGTTCTCTACTTCTAAAATAGAAAGCATTTCCTCATGTAGATCTTGACGTTATAAAAACAACCAAACCCGAAGTCTATTCCTGGTGCTATTGCAAACGTAAGTTTCCTTTACCACCTATCTGTGGTTTAACACAGGCCAAGTCCTTATGAACTGTATAAAAACATGTCTCTGCCAGTACGCAAGAACACAAAATACTGCAGGTACACCTAAACGTCAAGGGAAACTACTTCAAGTCTCCAAAAATCTCATCTTCTTAGACAGGACTAGCACTCTGTTGTTTAGGGGATTTAAATAGGCATCTTGCTTTTTGCTTGGCTTATATAAAACAAATCCTTTATTTTATTTAAAGGATCTGTCTGTAGCAGGATTCATTTGCAGCAAAACTCAGCTGCTCCCACAAACTCATACCTATTTCTTTGTCCAAAACAGTAGTAGCATTTAGTTTCTTGAATACATATAGAACAAAGTAACTGAGGAGAAATACAAATATACAGACTCATTACCTATTAAACTGCGTAGGCGCATAAAAAACCCAATCCTGGCCCAAAACATTGGTAAGTTTTATGCAAAAAAAAAAAAAAAAAAGAAAAAACTAAACAAACATTACCTTACTTTTGATTAGAATGGGTTACTTACTGTTCTTTCATTTCTACAAAGTCCTCTTCCTCATGCTTTGCCAGGTCAGTTTCACTGGCATCCTCAGTGTCTAAATGAAGTAAAGAATGACTTGTTAAAACTATGTATTTAAAGAAAAAACAAACAAACAAACAAAACAAAACCCAACAACAAAACAAAGTAGAAAATAATTTAAAAAAAAGAAACAAACAAATAAATAAAATCCGCAAGCCTCGGGCAATTTAACCTCCAATACAAAACCAGACAGGCCTTTGGAGAGATGAATTCAGAAGTGAAATGAACCATTTCATCTCTTCCCTGCAGCTGCAAGTTAATCTATGTAAGGCCTCTGATAGTTTTGCAAGGAAGCCTACATCAAATCTAAACAACTTCAATTTAGAGATAGTCTAGTAGTTCTTCCCAGTTTAAGGCAACAGGTCCTACATTAATGCTTACACATACAAAGGCGAGACAGAAACAGTCTAAATACTCTGAAAGATTTTTCACAGACTTCTTCCTATAGTTTTGCCCATAACATAATATATAAGGAAGACAATGACTGAAGCCGCTGTAACTGATTCTGCACCTTGGCCTGAACAAAAGCGGTATGACTAGATGCTGTTAGGGTTGACCACCAAGGTCTCACTAAAAACAACAAAGCTACTTGCTGTGATCTGAACTTGACTTCTCAGCTCCACGGTGCACAAAGTACTTCAACATTTATATGTAACAGAGACCAGCACTACTCCAAAGTTAGCCCCAATTTTATGGATAGATAATATAAATTAGAAACAAATTAACACAGTATGGGACTGCTGGTTTTCTTCTAGGACTTTTCAAGCTTTTATTTACAAGACATGGGTAGCCAAGACTGAATTACCTTTCCTCCCCAAGGAGAGCTCGGTGTCTCCAGGCCAGCGTTGTGGTAGGCAGGGTACAGCTGTAAAGCCTAAACTACTGACTGCTACATTCCCTATATATGGACAGGGAGCCCCAGTCCGCTAAATCAAATCTTTCTGATGTTTTTCTTAAGCTGTGACCAAATGGTTTAAGCTTACAAGTATTAAGACAAACTTCAACACACCAAAGATAAAACAAAAAGTTCTAACTGCAGGAAAAATACTTAGATGCCTAGGTCACCATAAAGGACTTCCATGCTCCATTTACTTGTGTGCAGCCACAGAGCCCCCACTGACGAGGACACTGTCATCCTTTGTAAAGATCTAAAGGTCTGGCTCTGGCATCTCATTCAGGAACATACCAGACGTGATGGAGGACTGGCTGACAGAGCAACTGTCAAAGGGTCATTCTTCACCTCCCTTATTTATTATTGTTTGCATCCTACACCCCAGAATACTCTGGGTTTTACTTCCATTTCCTCCACTGCTTTCCTGGTTCTTCTACAAAACCTCTTTTGCCTTTGACATCCTCTTGCACTGTTACTTCTGTCCACATTTTCTTCTCCCTTAATTGCCTCCTTCCCCCTTCACACCCCAGAAATATAACCAATACACTGTATCTCTCATACTTCATACACCAGATTTCTCCAGAACTTTTACCCTGTTGTCCCATACACTCAATCCCTCCTCCTCAATGCTCTCCCATCTCTGCCTCTTCTTCACCTGGGGAACCACTTCAATTCCAATGCTCCATCGGCTTCGCTCTCCTTGTCTCCCACAGGGAACCCCAGCAATCTAACAGGACTTTGTTTTCTGTGTGTTTTCTTGCTGCTCCAAACGACGACTCCACCAAACCCAACCCAAGCTTTTCTTCCCCAAACATTCTCCTCCACCTCCTCGCTCCTCCTGTCCAGAACAGTCCCTTTCCTCAACCCGCCACCCCGGCGTGTTGAGAGAGAGCCCCAGGCTCCCTCCCTCGCTTCTCCACCCTGCCCCAGGGCACCAAATCCCCCCACCCCGGCCCGGCCCAGCCCGCCACGCCACCCACCCTCATCGGAGTCGCGGGCCCGAGCGCTCCGCTCGCCGTCCTCCTCCTCGGCGCTCTCCAGCTCCTCCTCCTCGTAGTACTCGGGGCCGGGGGGCATGGCGGCGGCGGGCGCCCCGGGCGGGGCGGGGGCCGGCGGCGTGGCAGACACCAGCCCGGCCGCGCTCATAGCGACGGGACGGAGCCGCCACCGCGGGCCCGCGCCTCCCCTCGGCAACGGCGCCAGCACCCGCGCTCGCACTTCCGCTTCCGGAGCGCGGCCGCCCGGCGGGCCCCGGGGCGCGGGGACTGGCTCCGGTCCGCGGGTTCGAGTCCCGGCCCCGCCGGCAGCCCGCGCCAGGGCTGGCACCGCGCTGCATGCGGGCGGTCTCTGCCGGGCTTTGCTCTTCCAGGGGCTCACGGAAGGGGACAAAAAGGGGCTTCGCCTGGACCTCCGGAGACTCGCGTTCTCTCTTTTTGCCACCGGGCTGACTCCATGCCACGAAACGCCTGTACAGCGGGACACAGACACACAGCGGTGCCGCTCACCTTGCCCTGGCAGGAACTGACTTATCATAACACTTGTACTACTCTTTCCATTTTTTTTTTTTTTTTAAATACAGAAATTCCTTGTTTCTCCCTATTCTCAACAATGCACCACCATGGTACTGTGATTTCACGTTCACCCAGTTACTTCGTGCCAGACAACAGCAGCTTTCATAGAACAAGTGCCTCGCATCTGCTGGGTGCAAGGTTCTTCTCACTAGACACTGCTACAAAATTCAGAGCGAGTATACAGATCCCACAGTGAGATTCACACCCAAGAACCATTAAAAACAGGATCCCGTTCCATATTAAAATGCTTCCCATTGATAGTTTTGGCTAAATATCTCATTTAGCCCTTTTCTGCAACTCTAAGTCACCAGGGAAGAACTAATTAGTCTCACTGCCTCCAGCAGAGCCACAGTAAACTCTTAACAGCTGTGAGGTGCATTCCTCAAATGTACAATTTAGTGACTCACTGACATACTATAAACATCTCACCCAGGGAAAGGAAATAGGTTTTATCTAAAGGAGGACTGAACTCAAAAGACACCACAGCGCTTTTTCAAACTCGCTGAACCGGGCATTCAGCAGCCGAGAGGAGCACCAGGTCACACTCTTTGTTCTGAAAAGAATTGTAATAATGCAGCGTACGCACTTTGCTTTCCTGTAGTTCACCCCAAAGATCTGTTTGCCCTGACTGACAATTTTTAACTCGGAACACCCATGCAAAGTATGCCCGATACCTTTCTACATAAGTAAATATTACCTTTGACAGGAGATGAGGCTGAGACACAGCTTAAAGTCAACACTATTGAGAGCAGTTGCCAGAGCCCAGCATGCCATTTGAGGGCATCTGACTGGTTGCATGGGGGAGACAATCCCAGAGCTGCTCGTCACCCCTCTGTTGCCAAGCATGTGGGGTGCTAGGGATTATCAGTATCTTGGAAAGCGAGCCTTTTGCCTTTCTCCTCACCCCGGGCAGCCGTGGCTGGCAGGGCTGCCTGTGGGCACAGGGCGAACAGGAAAGGGTGTGGTGCCACATCCCATGAGCTCACTGGGTGCCCATGCTGCACCCAGCGCCCGCGTGTTTGTCCTCTCCCTGCAGACCTGGCTCGAGTTGTTCAAATAACCTTCCCAAAGCCATACAGTCACAAAGTTAAAAACAGAGATGGGACTGCCTCAAGCCCATTCTCAGAGCTGATCAGAGCCCCCTTAAAGCTTTATAAACACTATTTTCCCCCATTTCCTGTCTGCACCTCTTTCCTCTATCCACATATTTAGCCCAACAGTTCCTCTGCAAGCCTGGTTCACACCCCTGTGGATAGCAAGCGTGCCTTAACCAAGGCTGCCCTGCCAAGGTTAATTTATTCTGCATTACACTGCCTCAGCACTTTGTCTGGAGCCCATTTATCCTTTAAGAGCAGCCTGTCTTTCACACATCACACAAAAGGCAGGTGCATTTACTAATATGAGGGCATGTAAGAACCCTTTGAACGGAAGGTGCTGTGTGCAGCCAATGGGTAAGAAATTGCATGCAGCTGCTGATGCAAAATTTTTTAGCTCATTCTGTGGTCAAAACTGCAATCTCACTTGCTGTTGCTCCCTCCATACTAATTCCTCACGTTTAATATTAGCCTTCTGGAGACACCCTCTACTGTCATCTCTCAGGCATTCAGTGGGAACCCAAGGGAGGAGGTTCAGCTTTTAGGAATGCCATGTTCCCCTTACAAACACAGATTCTTAACAGTCTACACCCCAAAGAGCTATCAAGGAAAGTTCAAACTTCTCTGCCAAGTTACTGTTCTTGGCTCAAGTTTTGAACAAAGCTGTTTTACTCATCACAACTCACTTATTGGTTTATATACATTCATACAGTTTGATGAACGATTTCTGCCTCCTGCTTTGTCAACATTAGCTATTCACAGAGCAGCTAACACAGAAGTCATGCTCACTGTTTTTCTTTTCATTTGTAAGAAACAGAGAAAAAAGGTCACGAAGCTCAGCTTATAAACACATATCGTGGCAACCCATTTATTGTATGAATTAGATGACTGCAATGAGAAAACCTGTAATATAGTACATTGGCCTCTGAAGAACAGCATGCATACCAACACCCTTAGCCTGGAACACAGAGCTTTCAAGTTTCTGTACCTTTAGTTTCAAAGGGCTGTAAGACAATCATCCTAGAAGAAAGCCCACGAGGAAAACAGCTATCAGAAAGAAGTTATTAGAATGAGGTTGTATGAAGCACTGGCAGAAGGTAAAGCTATGTTCCTTCCGTTTTGTTTAGCAAAAAAGTAATAAAAAAACCCTATCAAAGAATAAGCCCCTGTGAGCCCCTACAATGATAAAGGAATGTTTGCCTCTGGATTCAGAGGCTGTAAGGAACCACACAGTATGGCAGAAACAGCATAAAACCACCCTAACCTGTCTCTGCTCTGAGCTCTTCTGAATCCAGACCTCTTAACCACTTCTAAAGTTCCTTCTTCTCCTCTGTGGCCTTTCCTCCTTAAAGCACACCTCTGTTACACCAGATCTTCTTGCTTTTTTTTTTTTTTTTTACCAGTAATCTCTTCCTACAATGACCTACCCCAGAACACACAGTCACTATCAATGCTCCCCCAACCCTGACAGCAGGTACTTATAGCCTCAGCGCTGCTTTTTACCCGGGCCCGGACACCGCCCTCTCACTCACCTGAGGCTACTGCAGGCCGGGCCCCGGCCCCTCACACACCTGAGGCCGCTGCAGGCCCTAACACACCCCTCCTCACACACCTGAACCCGCTATGGGCCCCCCACCCCAGGCCCTGAGGAGCCGTCCCCGACCGCCCCCCCCCTCCAGCGCTTCTGAGGGGAATCCCCGTCCCGCCGTTAACGGCGGCTCCCGGACCGCGGGACCGCGCAGGCGGCTGAATCGAGCGCCGATGCTTCGGGGGAAGGAGATTGGGATCGACGAGGCAGATCCGCTCCGCTACCTGGCCTGAGCCGCCGGGATGCGTAGCCGAGTGCCGATGCCTGCCTAGTCGCTCCCCTCCCTCCCTCCCGCCCGCTCGCGGCGGGCAGGCCGTGGAGCCGATTGCCGAGCGCTTGGCCGCGCCTGGTCGGGAGAGCCGCACCTCGGGCGGCGGCGGGGCCGTGGCAGGAAGCGGCGGGGACGGGGACGGGCCGGCGGACACTGTCCTTCCCTCCTCCCAGGCCCCGCGGACGTGTCCCGCTGCCGCCGGCCGGCACCAGGTGAGGCGCGGGGGCGGGAGGCGAGGCGGCGGCGGCGGCGGCGGGCACCGGCTGAGGGGGCGCGCGCGCGGCGGCTTCGCCTCTGACAGGCGGGTCCCGCTGGGGCGGGGGCAGCGATTTGGGGGGGGGGGAGGGCTAAAAAAGCACTTTCTGGCCGCCCCAGTGGCGTGGGGTGCTCGGTGTCGGGCTGGGGTGTGGGTGTCGGTGTCCCGGGGGCGCCCCAGGGCGAAGCGCCCCAGAGACGCGCCCGCGGTGGGGCCCGCCCCTCCGCTCTCCCGGGGCTGCTCGAGGCCGGGGCAGCTGTCTCCGGGCTTCAGGTCAGGGGGTGCGGGAGGGTCTGCGAGCCCCCTCACCCCCTCCCCGGCTGGCTGCGGTGCTGGGAGTGCCCGCTGAAGGGGCAGGGGATGGAGCGGGGAAGCAGCTTCCCCGCAGCTCGGTGTGGTTCTTGAAGGATATGTGACACGCAAGTCCCTTGCGTGGTGAGCTGTCCCGAGTTTGCTGGCCGTGGTCGAGGAGCTCTGTGGAAAGTTAGAGCTACAGGACAGCAGCTACGGAGCATCTCAGTAACCTGCGGAGGAGGGAAGTGCCTCGGTGGGAGAGTAAAGAGAGGAGGGAAAGTGACTGCGTTTCCTCCACCTGCAAGCTAGGGACACTGACACAGCTCATATAAACGGCGTTTGTCCATTCAGTTTACCCCTCAGATCTGTTTCTGAGCAAGTAATATGAACAGCATTAGTACTGGCCTAGTGAAATTCAAGTGAAAAGGGGAGCTCGGTAACTGCCTGCTTTCTTTAAACTGAGTTGGAAGTAATTACGTAGGTCTGGTCTTAGCAGATGTATTGGTCCTTTTAATGACATCAAGAAATGATTTACTGTAGGTGCTGAATGTCATCTAGCAGTACTCATATTTGCGTGGGAAGGAGAAAGAAGGAGGACACTAGGCAAGTACAAAGCCCTTAGAATTTAATTTTATATATATATATATATATGTATATCTCCTTGTGTTGTCTTCTTTTTTTTTTTTTTTTTTTTTTTTTTTTCTTCCAGAAATGTAAGTGGAATTAATTCGCTAATCCTATAACTATGATACTTCTAAAATTTAGTAGCCACTGAGTAGCCCTGATAGCATCCAGGACCTTGGTCACTTACTCAGCCTGGGCAGCTCGGAGCAGCTCGGTGCCGGATTTGCTCTCCGCGACCGGGGTGTCCTCCACAGGATTGTGTTCCAGCAGTTGAACGCTGAATCCCGTAGGTGTGTGGAGTGCTCGGGCTCAGCACACAGTCTAGTGGCAGCTGCCATGTTTGCTTAAAAACAGCAAAACAGGTGGTGCTGGTACGGCCTCCCCGCCGTGCCGAAGCCTCCGAACAGGACTTGCCCAGGCTGGGGGAGAACTGTGCTCAGGTCTGCTTTCTGTCCCAGAAGATTTCAAAATCACATCATCCACCTTATGGGATAGTGACCTAAAGAAGATGAAAGCAGTTCAGGGTTACAGATCGATGAGGGACGCTCCTCTCCTACTGCAGAAGCTGTTCTGTGGTACGCAGCGCGATTAAAAGTTAACTGGGTAAGAGCGCAGCAGGGGTATGGGACTGTTGACCGCAGTTTACGGTGCTCATGTTTGGGTGAGGATAAGTGGGCTCCAATCTGTTTTCCAAGGTCTGCTTACATATTTTTAA